GTGAATATGCCAGTGTTAATCTACATACTGAGTATACGGCAGGCCATGGAAATATACCTTTTGAGAAATCCGCCAAGACGTTACCCTTCTCCTTTTTTTCAATCACCTGTGGTCTATCCTTCTCTCTAAATACTCTATATTCCTCCAAGGGCTTGTCTTTTCTCTCTGCTATGACACTCCCTAACATATATATGAGCAAAACTAGGAGAATTATTTATGCATGAACAACAATATTGCAAAGGCTAACCACTTCGGGCATTCTGATCAACAAAATGACCGACAACGATTTCAGAAAACTAGAAAGGAAACATCTGCCCACCCCCTGGTAAACAATTAATAGACTCAGAGTATGAACTGAGATTTATTTTTACATGAAAACTTCAAGCATTTGTTTTGCTTGATGATAAATGTTTGTCACAGGGGTTCTGTTTTTTGGGGCTTTTGGCTTTGGTGGGAAGAGGTAGTTGAGAGGGAGAGAAGACAGATCTAAAAAGAAAGGAATTTTTTAAAAATCAGTATCTGCCTTTCTCCTCTCCCTGCTTTTAGCCTCTCCTTGGTTTTCTCTACCTTTTTGTCCTCATCTTTAGCCATGATGTTGTAGAAGAGGTCCTTGTTTAGCTTAATGGTTCCCTTCCAACTCTCCAATTCTGCGACTGGGTGAAAGTACCTCCAGTTTCCTCCAATTCACTGTCTTCAAGTATTTGGATATGAGCAATAAAAGTACTCAGGGCTATCACCACCCTGTAAGAACTCTCAATTCTACCCAAAGAATAGGACGTGTCTTTGGTATTTCCTAAAATGAGCACGTTTCAAAGTATTCTACTACTCCGTCATAAAGGGATCAGGAAAGCTGGATATAAGGAAAAGATCTTCCTACAGAAATGTCTTGGGATTCTGTTGATCATATTTTCCCATGTGGTAAAGGTTAAAGCATAGCATGGTGACAGTCACAAAGTAGACACTTAACAAGTCCTTGTTGATTAATAGACTTTGATACCTTGTAGGAAGAAAATTAAATATTTGAAAAAGAAGGGAGAAGAACTAAGCAACAACTATGAGAATTTCAGAATCCAAATCCTTTGATGATTCTTTGGTCCCATCTTCTCCAGGTAACCATCAATTCTATCACTTTCTTCCCTACACAACATTCTCTGCCTTGTTTTCTCAATGTTGTCTTTCAATGTCTATGAGATTGGGTTTTGGTGGTACTCAGGGATATAGCTAGGCATAGATAGGTGGCACCGTGGATAGAACAACAGGGCCCAGAATCTGAAAGATTTGTGTTCAAATCTGATCTAAGACACTTACTACCTGACTGACCCTGGACAAGTCACTTAACCTCTGTTACTCTCACTTTCCTCATATGTAAAATGAGGATGATAATAAAAGTGCCTGCCTCCCAGGATGGTTGGGAGGATTAAGTGAGATGATGCAAAGCACTTAGCATAGTGCCTGGGATGTAGTAAATGCTACATAAATGACACTTGTTTTATTATTATCATCGACATCATCATCCTATGTGTACCTGAAGCTTTGTGAATTTCACAATGAAGTATATTTTTCTGTTCTTTTTTACACTGAAATATTTGTTTAACTGTGAGTCACACACATATAAAGTTGGGGTATTATAGATTCTATATAGGTAGGGAGGTTGTCTTCATCCCTGAATCAATGAAGACCTGTACATGTTTCTGTGCTGATATATGAGTTTTAATACGGGACAAGGAATTCCATATTAACTCAAACAAACTAAATGCAAACATTGCCTAGACATCTCAAATTATTTTTCTCCTGCGGATCACAAGCTAGACTAGAAGACAGGATCGGAAAATCAACCTGTCAGTTCCAATTTCATGTCCTAATTGTGATGGTTAATTCATTCATTTCTCTTTTTCTTCCTCCTCCTTCTTCATTTCCCTCTTACATGCAGAAACATGCACGTGTATATAAATATAACACTCATCCATTTGTTCATCTATTAAAAAATTACATCTAATAAGAGTACTATATGTGAGGTATATGAAAAAGGATGAAATAATGAAAGGAAAAAGAACACTAGTAAAAAGGAATAGATGGGCTAACATACATACACATACATGTACACTTATATACATACTCTAAATGAACAAGCCCATACATTGAAGGAAACAAAGGGCTGGGCTTCTCAGAGATAGATATTTCTATCACTTTGTGTTAGAATAAATCAAGGAGAAATGAATGTGAACAGGGCCTGTATACCTTCTTTAATGAATCAAAGTCATCATGTGAGAGAATATCATGTCCTAAGTGATGTGATCATTCCTTAGGAAACTTGTAGCATAGTTGTATAAAAGGAGAAAGTTCTCTGAAAAGCAGAGATCTTAGGGGACTAGAAGTTAAGAAGTGGGAGGGTGTCACACAGAGCTGACCCTAAAGGGAATCAGGGAAAGGAGACTGAGAAGGTAGGACTGAGCTGTGGCAGAGAAGGATGATTTTGAAAAAAGCTACTGGATGAGTCTGAATCTCAGCTACAGCTGGGTGGAGATTCAAAGGAAGTTCCCTGGTGCATCAATGCTGAACTGGTTTGCCTTTTAAGCTCAGAACAGTCTCTACTCCTATGACTCCTGGGGACTTACTTTCATATCTTCTACAATTCACAGGGTCATAGCTATCACCAAACCCCTTCACCTAAAAACAGGGAGAAAGGGACACAACAGAGAAGGAAACCACAGCAGGGTCATGTAGTCTAAGCTTCACGCAGAATCTGAATGATAGAGACCATAAGAACTCTTCTACCCCTGCTGCCCTCTGCAGCTCATCCTCCTCTGATGCCAAAGAAATCGTTGAGTCTTTACCAAGAGACTGTCCTTGGTGATTTGGGCTTTTCAAAAGAGGCACTGGTTCTGATTACTCAGTTATGCAAAAACCCATAGGGAGCAGACTGAAACCAGTTATGGAATGCTGGCACATATACTAAAGCTCAGCAAGGTACTTGCTTCCATAACCCATCATCATGCTTTCCAGAGCCAGAATCCCAACCTCTTCAATGTACAGCATTGCACCCACTCACACTGATTTGTGTTCTAGAAGTCTCCAAAGATGGACTAGACAACCAAAATCAGTGTTTTACTGATACATCTCTCAGCTGAGAAAGAAGTTAAAGTAACCTTATCACCAACTCCAATTTCATTCTAGAATTACCTGACAGAAACAAAGGAATGACACTTGAGCTGCTTGTTAAGACCTTCATCAGTGACAACATTCTACTACAAAATCTGGGTGTTCTTTGACACACAGCAGATTCAATGGAAAACCATGCCGTACTTACTTACACCACTTTCCATATGCAGGTCTGCTTGGTTTCAATTCCTTGGAACAAGACACCCACACACCAGGTACCCTCCCCTGGTGTCACCTCCCCTCCCTGCCTTTCCAACTTCTTTATCTGTGTTATCTCCCCCCATTAGACTATAAACTCGTTGAGGGCAGGGACTATGTTTTCTTATATACCCAGCACCTGGCACAGTGCCTGGCACATAGTAGGCACTTCATCTTTATTAAACTGAATTGAATTGAAGTAGTGAAGAGATCAGCCAACCCATGCATTTACAAAACAGTCCCAGAGCCCAGTGGGAGCTCTGCAAAGATGCCCCACTACAAGCATTCCTTGACAATAGACGAAGTATTTAGGTTCTCTGATAAGAAGTTGAGGTTGATGGACATTCACTTTGGTAGAGTCTAAGCCAACTAAACAGCCTACCCATCATACACGTTCTGCCTGACCCAGATAGTAATTCATAAAAGCCTATTTTAAATGAAGAAGACCTTGCATAATATACATCAAGAACTAATAACACTGTGAGGTGGCCCAGACCATAGACAAGCTCAAGTCCAGAAAGACAGGACTAAAGTTCTGATGAAGCTTAACATCAACTAGCACTGATACAGGGCAAGTGGGTGAGCAGGTCAGAGAGGAAAAAGGGATTTCTGACCAAAAACGAGACTGGCTTACAACATCCCCCAAAGAAGGTGGGAAAACAGTGACACAGGCAGCCCTAAGACAACACAAATGCTTACTCACTTTCATCGTCATTGGAGATATGACTCTCACCCTTACCCTGGGGGTGAACCTGAGATAACTGAACGGGACATAATTCACCAAGACCAGTGCGGACTGCCAAGTTCATGCTTCAGACTTTCCAAAGGTCTGGAAAGGAAGCTTCCAAGCCATGTGGTAGGTCATTTAAGTTGTGGTTCTGAATCTTAGTGTCTTCCACAGAATGAACCACTATCCCTAGCCAACAATTCCGTCTGTCCATAAACTACAATGCCTCTCCGGCACCTCCAGGATCCATTGTAAAATCCTCTTTTGTTACTAAAGCTGTTTGAAATCTCCCCAAAAGCACATTTCCTCCTCTGCTGACCTTCACCCCTCAGACACTCTGTGACTTAGTGACACTGGCCTTCTCCCCTCGGGTCTCACAACATCCTCCATCTCCTGCACTTTCACTGGCTGGAATTCTCTCGCTCCTCGTCTATGGCTTCTGGATCCTCTCAATTCCTTCAAGTTCAAACTAAAATCTTTCTCTTGCCAAGAAGCCTTTCTTCACGCTCCTTGAATCCAGTGCCTCCCTCCTGTCCATTATCTCCAATTTCCATTTGATCTCCCCTCCCCCACCCCAACTTATACACTCTAAGATCCTTGAGGGTAGAGGCTGATTTTCATTTCTTTGTATCACCAATGCTTGGCACATTGCCTGGCCCCTAGTAGGTGCTTCATAAATGTTTATTGATTCACTGACATTACAGAAACAGAGCTCCACCTAGAAAAGGCCATTGCATAGACATCTCTCCCAGGCCACAAGAGGGACACTGATTGCACTGATGTTCCACGTAGTCCACATTCTCAGTGGTTCCTTTAGAATGTGAGCAGGAAATGTTCAGGAATGTCATGAACTCTTTTCATTTCTGTTCAGTCACTTAGGCTCTGAAGGAAACTTATCTTCCAAGACACTAAGGACATGAGTCCACTTGAAATCATGCTAGGTATTGTCTTCTGCTCTCAGACTGTCGTTGGGATTGTGGGAAATTCCTTCCTCGTGTTCCTCTTCACATTCACGTTCCTTACTGAGCACAAACTGAGGCCCATAGATACAATACTCACGCAGCTGGCTTGGGCCAATTCCATGCTGCTGCTCATTAAGGGAGTCCCTCAGACAATGGCAGCTTTGGGCCAGAAGAATTTCCTGGACGACGTTGGCTGTAAAATTAACTTCTATCTTTACAGAGTGGCCCGTGCTCTTTCCCTCAACATGACCTGCCTCCTGAGTGGCTTCCAGGCCATCACTATCAATCCCAACACAGCCAGGTGGACCAGGCTTAAAACCAGGACCCCAAAGTACATCGTCCACTGCAGTGTTCTATGCTGGGTATTCCATCTGATAATAAATATCACTGTTCTTGTGAGAACTAAAGGAACAAGGATCTCCAAAAATATCTCAAATCTACTAGATTATGGGTATTGCTATAATTTAGCGGTTTCTACAGATAAGGCTGCACTGTTTGCAGTTGTGGACTCCTTCCCTGACGCTGCCTCTGTTGGCTTCATCATCTATGCCAGTGGCTACATGATGTTGTTTCTGAAAACGCACCACAAAAGGGTCAAGCACATCCATGTGTCTAGGCTTTCTCCAAGAGTCTCCCCTGAGACCAGAGCCACTCAATCCATCCTACTGCTGGTGAATACCTTTGTGTGCTTTTTCTCACTCAATTCTATTTTGGTAATGTATATGCAATTTAAAAGCCCAAGACCTTGGCTGTTACATAGCTCAAACTTCCTGGCTGCCTGTTTCCCAATTATAAGTCCATTCGTGCTGATCAGCACTGACTCTCAAGTTCTGAAGTACTGCTATGCTCTCTGGGGAACCTCACAACTTTTGCCTTTCTTGGCATCTCCAGTGCTCAGCAAAGAACCCAGCCCATCATAAGCACATATTAAATGCTTATGGGTTGAATGAGTACCAAGACATCTATATCCCCAGATCTACCTGGTTCCAATAACTTCCTGTCATAGCTCTACTTAAGGATATCATCCCATGACCCATTCCCCCAGAACCAAGGACAACTGGAGATCCCTTGAGGTCTTTGTTCAGAAGCACTGTGAGCAATTTGGAAGTATGCCCAAAGGACTATAAAACCATGTATGCCCTTTGACCTAACAATACCAATACTAGGTCTATATCTCAAAAGAGATTTTTACAAAATTAAAGGGACATATATGGACCAAAAATGTTAAGCATCTCTTTTCTCATGGCAAAGAATTAGAAATTGAAGGGATGCCCATCAACTGAGGATGGCTGAACAAGCTGTGGTATGTGATTGTGATGGAATACTATTATGCTGTGGGAAATGATGACTGGGATGTTTTGGAAAAGCCTAGACCTGCATGAGATGATGCAAAGTGCAATGAACTGCGTACAAAGTAATAACAGTATTGTAAGATGATCAGCTGTGAAGGATGTAGCTATTCTCAGCAATACAATCATCCAAGACAACTCTGAAGACTCATGATGAAAGATGCCATGCATCCCGAGAGAAAAAAAAAACAACTGGTGGTATCTGAATACAGATTGTAGCATAAACAAAAAATTTTTTAGAACTCAAGAGTATGGCTCGCAGAGTTATGGTTCCCAGAGTCAATTACAGGATCCAGGTAACTAAGAGTTAAAAGGCACCTGAGAAAGAATCTGGTCCTGCACATACCTGAGAAATCCCTTCCACAATGTAGCTGACAAACATCATCCCACACCTATCTGCTGAGTTGCAGAGCAGAGGGGGGAATTTCTTTCTTCCTACAATAATCTATCGACCTTTGAGGCAGACATGAAAGTGTTTCATTTTCTTTAGGTTTGCTGTGTTCCCACACCAGATCTCTCTGTCTCTGTCTCCCTATCTCTCTCCTTTCTTCTCTCCTTCTCCCCCTCCTTTCCACTCCTCCTCTTCTCTGTCCAAGAGGTTCTGAAGCCTTTGAAGCACAGCATGGCGTTGTCTCACATGTTTTTGGACCTGCCTCTGATTGGCAAATTGATTACATTGGACTTCCCCTAGGGCAGCTAGGGGGCGCCATAGTGCACAGAGCACAGTGTCTGAAGTTAGGAAGACTCAGCTCATGAGTTCAAATCTGGCCTCAGACACTTACTAGCTTGGCACCCTGGGCAAGTCACTTCACCCTGTTTGCCTTACCCCCTTATTTGTAAAAGGAGCTGGAGAAGGAAATGACAAGCCACTTCAGTATCTTTGCCATGAAAACCCCAAATGGGATCACAAGGATCTGGACAACAGAACACAGGGCAAGTGATCTGCCCACATTCCAGTCAAAACCTACTTGAGATGTGGGATTGCAGGGTCAGTTATTTTGGTGACTACTACAGCCAACATAAAGGTTCTTACAGAAGACATTCTGCTTTCTGATGGCCTTATTCATATTATTGCTACTGAGCAGGGATCCCTTTTTACTGCTAAGAAGGTTCATGAAAGTGCTGTCTCATGACTATGGGTCATGTCTCAAATGGATTTTCCATTTTCCCTTGTGGCTGGGATCTTGGAGTGGTGTAGTGAACTGGGAAAGCAAACAGCTGCCTGATCAGATCCTTGATTACCAAGGTTAGATGCTCTATCCTCCTTAACTTGTCACTTGGATAAACCATCACAATTCCCAAGAAGTTAGACTCTATACTTCAGTGGTTTCTTGGATTTGCCCTTCACGATGTTTTGTTTGAGAGGATTTGACTTCCTTTGGATGGAATCACTGTGGATACTCTCCAGCCTGGACTTTATCAGCATTCTGCAGGGATATTTGGGATGGACATTTTTGCCTTTTAGAAAGATCTGGGCAAACTAGCGGAAATCATCCAGACCTTCTTTAGCGCACAAGATTCCTGTCCCTTCTCAAAATAATTGGGATTACTCATTTAGAGAAAGCACTGGGCAGATAAAAGAGAAGCACTGCTTTGTACTTAGCTGGGGGAAATGAAATGATATTTTCATAATCCTGTAATGGGGAGTTTACTTTTACAATTGGGGAAGCTTCAGTCTCTTCTTTACGTCCCTGAATAAAAACCAAGGGGAGTCTTCGTCCAATTCCCATGGAAGAAAATAGAACGCTCTCAGTCAAAAGGTTTAAAGGGCCCACACTTGACACTATCCCCAGGATGGGCTCTTTAGCAGGGCAAGGTATGGCTGGTGTACGGGGGCTATACTGAGAGGGTGGTGAGACATCCTTCTGTTTTCAATGGAGGTCTCATGTTAGCTTGTGTGGAATAAAACCTTATGGCCTCTTAGCTATTCAGATCTGTTGCAGGGATCAGCAGCAACACTGGATATATCATCAGTCATTCCACGGAAGTGATTTTTCTGCTGCTATTCGGGAACGGTAGGATTATTTTGTCCAAGAAAATGTTTATGAATTGCCCCAACATCACTTCGATTTCTCTTTAAAGAGATTTTAAAATATTTATATGTCCTTTGTTTTAACCTCCCTCCCCATTTTGAGGGCTGTTTTGAGACTATTTGAATAGTAAAAGTTGCCCCAGATAAATCTGGGGACCTTGCCACCAAATGGTGGGTTGTAGTGTGAACACGGCAGGTCTGGTGAGGTCGTTGAAGTTGTGACGTCCACCTGTTCTCCACACTGCCCCTCAGCTCATTCTCACCACTTGCTGTGGAAGCCCAGAGACGGACATCAGAGGAGGATTGGCTGCGGGCAGAGAAAACTACCCGTGATAATTTTCAGAACTGAAATTGTCTGCAGGCTGCTACCTTCACCTGGTAACTATGATAGGGAAGCTGTGTTTTACTTCTTTTTATTTTTAAAGGTTTTTTATTTAATTTTAGGGTTGATGGGAATCTATTGGATTTTCAACAGGTAAACAGAAATCCTTGACCCTGCTGGAGAAAGCCAAATACAGCTTTGGGCCACAGTACAAGGCCTACAGAAAATGCTCTTGAGGCTGCACAAGCTTGATGAGAAGTGTGACTGTCCTCAATGGGACCTTGGGACTTCTTTTGTTTTGACATCCCTTTCATTGTCTGGTCCAACAGCCCACCGAGTGACAGACTCCTTACACTAAATTGATCTTATCTGAAGGCAATTGCAACCAGCCTCTCTGATTTGACACTAGATTGAGACTTTTAGATGGAGAATGCGTTGCAGGCCAGTACAAGGCAGGCAATCATGTGACTGTGCTCCCTTCTGCTCAGGCCACATCTGCAGGGGTTGTTCAGTAACAGGGGCCACATATTGACCAGTACATTGGCAGGCCAGAGGGCCTTGAGAGGGGACTGGCCAGGACAATGAAGTGCATCCAGAGCACAGCCTAAGAGGAAACATTAAGAGAAAAATGCAGGTGGCAGAATCAATCATTCTCAGAGTTGGGGGAGCCCTCAGTGGCCAGCTGAGTTCAGCCCAAACCTAAGCATGAATGCCTCCCACAACATGCCGAGAAGCTGCTCCCCACTCTTGGTTCCAGAGTTCCACTGAGTGCCAGGCCCTTTAGGATAGCTGTAGTTTTAGGAGGCTGCGTCTCATATGATTTCCTCTCTGAAATGACCATAATACCTCAAGATACTTGAAGACAGACATCCTGTCCCTCTGACTCACCCCTCTTCTTCAGAATAAACACGTGGCCAGTTCTTTTATCTGACTGATGGACGTAGGACGGTTGAGACTCATATGCACACTGGTCACACTGCACTGGAGACTTTCATCTACAGTAATCGTAAGGGTGATTGAGCAATTGTCTGTCTCAAGCCATTTAAAGTAATTATCTTTGTTAATCAAGAATAGTTCTTCCTTGAATAAAGCAGTCAGGATGATTGTGATTGGGCCTCTGTAACTCTGCCAATCAAACAGAGTCTTCTTATGAGAGGCTTGCTGCCCCCTGCACCACCCACCCCCAAAGATTGGCATCATAAAGATCTGGGGGCATAGAGTAAGCGGTCATAGAAAGTTGGAAATCCTCAGCAGCCCAGGGTCAACCAGGAGAAGAAGAAAGAGAAAGCAAGCCTGGGCTGCAGCAGAGAAGGGAGCTATTTATGAGGCCTGATGGCCTCCAGCTGTCCCAGCATGGAACTCTCAAGTTGATACCTCAGGTTGTATTCACCTATTTAAATACTGGGGGAACTGCCCTGCCCCGCTGCCAAAAAAAGGTCTTGCTTCAGTAGTCTTCCTTGCTACCTGTCTATCCACAGGCCCCACATAATAATCTGAGGCTTCATAACTCACACTCTTCTAACAACTCAATCTTTCCTCAGATACAAAGACTATAGATAAACATATAATTGGCCCAGATTAACAGATGAGGAACTAGTGCCCTTAAGTAATTCTATCATTGAAAAAGAAACTGAACCAGCCACAAACGAGCTCCCTGAGAAAAAACCCAGGACCAGACAGATTCACAGGTGAATTCTAGCCTGCACTGGAACAACAATGAATGCCAATACAATTTAAACTATTTGAAAATATAGATAAGGAGTCCTACCCAATTTGTTCTATGACACAAGTATGGTTTTCATACCTAAACCACAGGCAACAAAAACAACAAAAGAAAATTAGAGATCAAATTCCCTAATAAATATCAATGCAGACATTTTAAATAAATTACAGCAATGTACCGCAAATATTATACACTATGACCACCTGAGATTTATAACAGGAATAGAGCGTTGGTTCAATATTAGGAAAACTATCAGCATAACTGACCATATCAATGACAAAAACAACCAAAAAATCATATGATTATATCAATAGATGCAAAAAACCCTTTTGACAAAACATAGTTATTCATATTAAAAAAAAAAACAACACTAGAAAGCATAGGAAATAAATGGAGGCTTCGTCAAAGTGATAAGTCATATCTTTTGAGTGAGGGAGGGGTGTGCCAAGTCACCAGCCTCACTTTCTCCTCCAGAGCCATCTGGGTCCAGTGGC